TCACCATGGTCGTCGTCATCTCCATTCTTGAACCATATCGTCACTTTTCCTTCGTGAGGACAGTGGATCCTCCTCATCGGCGTCGTTCTTATCTTGTAGGGTTCCAACAATAATTCGATTCCAATGAGCAAATGCACACAAATCAGCGCGTCAACCTCAAAACACCCAAACCGAAGAAATCATAGCAGCAGATAGCTAGGGTCTGGGTGGTCGATTTCGCACAGCAGGAACGAAAGAGAAGTGCGCGTGTACCTATTTGGTGCTCGTCACCGGCGAAAGTGCCGAAGATGGAGGGCTGGGCACCTAGCGTAGGGAGGAGAAGGCGGCGGCGGCCGAGTCGTTGCCACCAGAGAACGCTGTCTACCGCTGCCCCACTCCCCTTCGTGTTAGGCAGATCCGATATTGGCGGGGCTGCCGCAGTATCTGTGAAGGGGAGGAGCAAGCGGGCTGGTTGGCGAAGATGACAGCTGGGCGGCGATCGAGAGCGGAGAGGGCGAGGTGCAGGAGACAATGGAGAATCGAAGGAAAGCAAATCGAGCACGGGAGAAGATGGAGAACCAGAGGCGCGTGCGTCGCGGCTAGGGGAGAGGAAGACGGCACGGAGCTCTGCGGCGGCGTCGCGTCGCCGGCCATATTGGGCCAAGCGACGCCAGGGCCAAGCGGCGTCATGGCGGGAAAGCAAAGGAAGAAGCGGAGCAAAGCGGCGATGGGATCGCATGAGTCGCTTCTTTCTTGCCCGCCATGGCGAGATCAGCAATTTGGATGGCCTTGTCGGCCGGGGCTGGCTTGGAGGGGAACGGCGGCGGCGTGGACGAATGCGTGGGGAGGGGGAGGGAACGTGGGATAGGCGGCGGTGGCTTGGGTGCGTGCATGGGGAAGGGAGGGAGCGCGGTTGGAGAGGATGGAGCGTGATTTGAGGGGAGGGGAGGGAGCGGGAGGCGGGGGACGCGGTATTGCACGGACGAGAAGGAGAAGCGACTCAAAAAAAGTTGCACTAAAAAATAGTCTTACTTTTATTCTTTTTAGTTGCAGGAGATATATATATATATATATATATATATATATATATATATATATATATATATATATATATATATATATATATATGAAAAAATAGAAATTACTGTTTAGAAGCTTCGTTTCAATTGCTATAATTCCTTTTTTTTTCTGTTTTATTACTACTAGTATAGTACTAGTATAATTTTTTAGAAAAAAAAATGTGTCAGGCGTTATTTTGTCTGAGTTGGGTTATGGCCCTGTTCGGCTTGCTGAAAGTTGGCTGAAAGTAGCTGAAAACACTGTTCTGGCTGAAAATGTTGTGAGAAAAAAATATTGTTCTGGCTAAAAAAAAACCCGAACAAACTAGATATAAGATAAGCCGAACGGGGCCAACGTGGTGTTCAGAAAAGTTAAGCATGGTCATTCTTATTGATTTTGAGCCGCATCCTGTGGTTGGCGAGACTCGGCCGGGTACGTGTCTATTTTTTACTTGGATATTCGAGCAAGCCCAGGATACATAGCGCTCCCCTCATAGATTTACTTTTTCTATTTTAATAAGAGAGCAAAAAAGAACTGTTTATAAGTGGTTGTAAAGTTCATCCGGTTTTATATAAAAAACAATAATATTTAGGACCTTAAATAAGCATCACTAGATTATTATATTCTCTATATTCTAAATTATAAGACGTTTTAACTTTTTAAATATCTTTTTACTATACACCTAAACGTAGTGTATATATAAGTGAATAACAAAAATAATGTATCTAAAAAAAGCTAGAATATCTTATAATTTGAAATAGAGAGAGTAGTTTTTTTCTTTATTAATTTACTACTTGACGTAGGCACGTAGTAGATGTAGACAAGAGAGCTAGTGTCTTCAAATTTTAAATTCAAGAATTTTGTAGAAATCAGTTCAACTCAATTCAAGCAAGACCTAAGGACTTATTCCATTTTCAAAAAAAAAATCACCATAATAAGTACATCTCTATAAATTGAGCTAAAACTTTTTAAAAATAGTATATTGGCAAAAGTACCTTCTCTTTATTAATCAACAACGAAGCTAATGAATTGAACTAGATTATAAGGATTATGTTACTTACTAAGGGGTCATTCGGATATCTTGAAATGGGACCAGGAACCATTCTAGGTGATCAATTGTTATACAAATATTAGTCAACCATTCTAGTTGGGAATAGTGCCATGAAGTGGTTTCTAGACAGCTGAACGAGCCCTAAGGTGGAACGTAGGGGCCCATGTTTATTCGGTAACCACAAGCTGTCAAGCTCAGAGCAAGGGGCGAGGGCAACATAGCTCGAAAGGTGCAGTTTTAAATTCAGCAGTGCTAGCGCCTAGACGTTCGGACGGACGCGCGCCTGCACTCCCTCCCCCCAGTGCACCTGCATCCCGCGCCTGCCTACGCGGGGCCCGCGCCACCCGACTGCACGTGGGGAGTCCCGGCTCGCGCCCCCTCCACTTCTCACACGCATGCACGCGGCCAGCAGCTGCAGCAGGTGACTACAACAGGTGGCTACGCCAACATCCAGAAGAACGGAGGGGGCGACGGATGCCTAGCCGGCGCCGAGAGGAGGAGGAGGAGGAGACACCGAGGCGAAGGTGAGGCAGTAGAAAAGCAAAGACTCAACACCCGATCTACTTTTGAAATATCCGGACACAACACTTGCAACATACGTCTGAAGGCAGATGAAACACATGAAATATGCATCTGAAACACTAGTTGCAACACCAGATCTATTTTTAAAACATCCAGATGAAACACTTGCAACATACGTATGAAACAGCTGAAACACTCAAAACATGCGTATGAAACACTTACAAAAAACACCTGAAAACACTTCGTATGTGTGAAAACATATGCAACATCCAGATGAAACACTTACAACACATACGTCTAGAAAATGAGATGAAACATTTAGAACATACACTTGAAACATACGTGTATAGCCACTGCAACATGTGCAACATTCCGATCTACTTTAGCAACATCAAGATGAAACACTTGCAACATCCATCTGAAACATTTGAAACATACTCTTGCAACATGTGCTTTGCTTGGACGAATGGAGGCACGCTGCCGCGGAGGTCAACAGCGGCGCATGGACCTTGTTGTGCGGCACCGGCTCCGGCAACTCGCTGACGGGCGCGGCGTCTCATCTCACCCCCTCGCCTACTTGCTAGAGCATCCGTCGTGGAGGCTCGCCGGCTCGGTGGAGGCAGTCGTGGCTCACCAGATCGGTAGAGGCGGTGCGGCGAGCGGGCCGGCCACGGCGAGGAGGCAGCGAGGTGGAGGCGAGCGAGGCAGACCGGGCCCGATGGGGAATGTGGCGCGGAGGAGGCAGTTGCGGAGGAGGCAGCACGGAGGAGGTCGCAGGGGATGGGGCGCGGCGCTACGGGGGACCGACTGCGGCAAGGCGGAGTGGAATGGGCGGATGGGCACGGCGACACAGTGAGAAAACGGCACAGCGAGCATCGGCAGTGGCGGACCAGAGATTCAATGGAGCCTGGGCGAACCTCAAAGAAGGTAGGATTATAGGGTTACAAACCAACGTGAAAGTTGATTTGTTGTTTGCCTTTGTCTCTGTCTCTGTCTTGTACTTTTGTTGGTATTTTTAATATATATATTTCAGTAGGGATGGGCCTTCGATCTCTACTGTTTCCTAAAAAAATGTGAAAGCTGATTTGATGAGTGGCTAGTTTTGTCTTCCATCAAGGGAGGCACAAGGCCATCTCTAGTGGCTGAATCATGACCAAACATGACATCTCATAATTCCACTTTTTAGCGATGGAGAACGCTAGAACAGTCAAAACTTACACTAACACGAAAATCAACTCTAATATTTGCATCGATGCATGCTGGATAAAATATTAATAAGTCTGTAAAATGATGGTGTGGCATTAGAATTAAGTAAGAGATGGAGAGAAAGAAATTATTTCTTATACAATAAATTATGTGTACACGAGAAATAAGATAGAAGAGGATGTATGGATGGTATGAAAGAGAAGACATGTAATTGGATAAAAATCTATTTAAATGTAACCATCCATTAAAAGTATATTTTTTATGCAATGTCTACATTACTTATTGACAAATATAGTTTATCTTATAATTTTTAAGTTGATACTATCCTAACAATATAGTCCCTCCGTCCCCAAAAGAATACAATTCTGGAACAATATCATGTTTTCGTATATCAAATTTGACCAATTATAGATAAAAAAGTATAGATATTTATAATATTAAATAAATACCATAAGCTTAATTACAAAATATATTTTGATAATAAATTGATTTGAAGACATAAATGTGAATACTATTTACTAGAAATTTAGTCAAACATGAAGCTCTTTAACTGGAACGTAACCTATAGTTGCATCCTTAGACAGTATCATCTTACCAATCTCCTTGTGTAGCAAAATAACATGCACACAGTGATAGTCACTATTGCTCTAGTTTAAGCAACAGCTTTTTCACTTAATTAATGAGCTGAGCCTCCATTTACTAGGCTTGCTTTTGTGCTACACCGTATTTTTGGAACCACTCTCTGTATCCAAGCGGTGCAATGCGTTGGTTACTACTCTGCTCAAGGTAGGCCAAAGGCTGCTGCATCTACTCCTATCTCGGACCTCTCATCTCGTGCGCAGTTGCAGAGGAGCCCGGGCAGGCACCGAGGGTCGCCAGGCCCTAGGTGCGCGTCCTGAGCGCAGACGGGACGTTATAATTGTATCATTATCGCTTTAAATTTGGGCCAAGCTGGCTCAAGTATATCTCCATATACGGCCTCTCATCCAAGAGACATTACAGTTTTTAGTTTTATACACAAATTGTCACTGCCACGGTTGGGCCAACCATTACATATAACATACACATGTCGTTTCAGTACCAACTCGGTCCTAGTAGTACCTCCTAAATCCTAACACACAGGTCGGTGCAGTATGTAGTTTTGGTGAGCAGCGTGCGGGGTCTTAGCGAATCAGCAACGGCGTCAGACATCTTTCTCAATGCAGGACGGCTCGTCGTCGACGGTGGCCACGGTCAGCTGGTCATCCAGCGATGTCGCCGACGCCGTCCTCGACAGCGTGCACACCGTGTTCGTCTCGTGATCCGTCTCGTAGGTGGTGTCCAGGGAGCAGACGGATCTGGTCGTGAGGGTCCCGTGCCGGCTCCTGTCCTTGACCCTCTTGCACCAGCTGTGAAGCGACTCCCTCACGTTCTCCGACACCAGTGATTTCTTGAACTTGGAACCCATCTGCAAGTTCAGCCAAGGAACAAGAACGCCAAGGACAAGTCAGCAGCAGTGGGTCAAGCTATCGTCCTATCGACTATATGTAGGACATTGTTTTCAAAAAAAAAATGAAACAAGTTTTTTTTTTCTGGATATATACAAAGCTCAGTAGACGATTTTAAGTGGTTTTATACATGCTAAGATGCAATTAAAAGTTGCAAAATCAGGTGAGGAAATAGCAACACAGATGAAGGAACAATTCATCAGTAAGATAAGATGATATGATAGTAGTACTAGTAGTACATAGTGCTGATGAAATCATGTGAAGAATTACTACAACAGTATCTCTTGGTCCAAATTAGATTTGCACTTGAAGAGTACCTGAGAAATAATCACATTCAGCGGCAGTGTGCTGTAGCTGCACCAAAACTGAACTAGGAGCCTGCAATATTCAGAAGAGATTTTTTGTTCACACTTTTTGTGTTAGTATTGAGCCCAACCAATATATTTCAGGGAAGTTAACTTAGCACGAATTCCTAATCAGGTAGCTTATAGTATAGATAATTGGAGTAACACAAGGTAGTTCAAAGCATGTAATATCTTGACTTTCAAAGGGGATTGACAAAGAAATCGATGTAAAATATCAGCCTGTGGAAACTTCCACAAAGCAACACATCAAGAACTTTAATGATAAATGCCAAACTCTTCTACAGTCAGACCACAAAATACCCTGTATTTTTGAAAGAAAAATGCAAAGACTTACCCAGAAATCAACCGAATGGCAACCATGTAGTAGTGCTTCATGAAGCATGTTTGTGCACTGAGTTCCCACTGCACAAGATGTGTGCCAATAAGTATAAATAACAAATCAAGCTATATGGAGTCATCGGAGTGATGACAGCTTGTGCGGATCCTTTCTTATCTCTTGAGCTAGGAAACTGGTTAGGTCACACCTTCTGGACTAGCAAGCTTTGGTCCAGGCAGCAATTCAAAAATATTACATAAACCCAGCACCTATCCTACAGAGAGAGTGCTGGATATGTTCTCATCCTATATTCTTGTACTATTGGCTGTTTGACCAAACAATTTAATCCCGATCATAAAGATTAAGAAGATTCTCACCAGAGACCATAAGAATGTTGCCAGCTCAAAGGCATTCTGGAAGAAAGAAAAAGTGTTAGGATGAGGGAAAAGACGTTCATATAAGCATAAAAAACATCCAGAGTAGCAGTAAACATCACCTGAAATGAAATGAACTGTATAAGCCACCAGAGTACCCGAGGCTTTCCAAACCAAAAGAGATCATCACGCAGTTTGAGTTGTGAGCCAACATAAGGCGCTGTTGCCTCAGCGACTTCCAGAGCCAACTGAGCGATGACGTGCTGAAGTTCAGTACCCACTAGAAGCACCAGCTTTTCAGAATTTTTGAAAGCACATAATTATGAGAAGACATAAGTATCATTTTAAGACAAGAAACAAAAGATATCATTAGAGGAATCTTCTACATTGGTTAGGTGACATGGGTAATACTTACAATAACAGGAACAAAGGATAACCAGAAATATATATTGATACCTGCAATTTTAGAAAAGATCCAAACAGTGTCATACAGGGTTCATTAAGCTTGGAGGCAAGGGAAGAAGAGAGGTTTGGAGCGAATGGTACCATGAACATTGATGAATATGCAGACAATCGCATATGCCCAAAGTGGCCAACTGCAACAAACAGGATGTGCTCATGTATGAACATCACATGGAGCATAATAATTCCAATAGCTAGAGGATAGAATATTAAGAAAAGAAAACGAATAGCTCCTGGCATGCTATAACCAAGTTCAACTAGTATTATCGATTGAAAGGAGCGAAAAAGTCCCTAAACTGGCCACTTTGGGCTTACAAACGTATTTATTGGAAAAATCCAACATACTTTGCCCAGCACAGCCATCAGATTGAATCTCATGGAAAACTTTTTCTAGACCAGTATACTTGAATACTTCATTGCTCGAATCAAGAAATCTACTCTATCAAAGGTAGTTTTCTTAATGCTTAATTGATCAGATGGAAAGTGGATATTCTAGAGAGTAAATTCTGCTTTACCTGATACCAATAGTCCCATTGTAATCATCTTCCATGCTCCGTACCATGTATTTATGGAAGTCATATGAATGCGGTAGCTTGTGATACTAACAAGAAAAATTCAGACAAGAAAATCACATGGGGAAACTGGCATATTGGAATCATCTTAGCAAGGGGGGTGGGGATGCTAAAACATTAGAAAAAAATTGGAGTACTCACTGTGACAAAGCCCAACCTCAGTGCCAAATAGTCTGACCTTGTTATGGAGCCCTTGAATTGACGCAGAAAACAGAGCTGCAATGCAATTAGAGAAACTTTAAATCCAAGTGATCATGGATGTACAGGCCATTACATACTACTTCCAGTCTCTAAACTATGCCACTTCAGACACAAGATAGGCAGAAACAAGTCATACATCCTGTCTTAAACATCATACTTGACCGACTAGAGGTAGTATTTAGAGTATTCGAGGCTTCAGATACATGAATCTTTTGACTTTATGGTCGGTAGCACTCTCAGATGTTCTTTAATCAGAGAACTTAAGGATGAATTAGATATGAGTGGATGATATATGCAAATAAGGCATTTTTACGTCTTTACACTTTGACACGCTAATCAGATAATAAAGAATGATAGAATCAGAATGGGTTCCACAGCTAGATCGAGGAAAGGAAAAAAAAAAGGAAACTTACCATCCAAATAAGTATTTTATTTTTGCTCCATGGATGAGAAGCATGGTGAAAAACAAAGGTAGACTGCCTTCTCATCACCTTCGTTCTCCTAGCTGAGAGAGACAAACATCAGTCAGGTAGAACACATCAATAGGGTTACATAAAACGTGGCCAAACAAGCTTCCACATTCAGCTGATGACTCTACCTTTCAATTCCTCAGCAGCAATTGGACCTGCTAAGGTTTCCCATTTCCTCCAGCTATAGATCTGCACCAACAGCAGAAAGATACCACAATAAACTCATCACAAAAGAAAAAGTACAAAAAATGTCAGACCCGCAATCGGACAGCGAGCGCGAACCTTAATCATGGACAGAACCACAGTTACAAAACTGAACAACACATGAGTGATACCAAGGATGAACAGAAACCGGTGCAGCTGCTCGAGGCCCTCGTACGAAACAAAAGGTTCATGGCCCTGCATCAAGTGACAAATTGAACTCCAACTCAAGCGATGAGCGAATAACATTCTCCCCTCCCAGTGACCACGATAGACTGGGACCAGGACATCTAGGTTACCTCGCTGCAGACGTGCAGCCGCTGGCCACCGAACATGCTCTTGTCGAGCGCCGTCTGGTTGGCGTCCGTGTTGCGCAGCAGGTCGTCGTAGTCGTTCTCGGAGCAGATGTAGAAGCGGCTGTTGAAAAGCGAGGACGGCACGCAGATCTCCGATATGAAGCGCGCCGTCTGGCTGAGCAGCAGCGAGATGACTCCGAGCAGCATCAGCTCTGCGTGAAGACATGGGTTCTATTGCTGAGAGGCAAACAGTCGAACAGCTTACGAGCGGCGGCAGTGGCGGCAGAAACATTAACGGTTGAGCAACTAGGAAAAACGAAAAAGTGAGTGTACTATAACGAGATCGGCATGCACAAGGTGTTGCCCAAATCCGCAAAATCCTTGGAGACAATGTGGCAACGTTGTCTAGAACTATCAGCATTGCAACTTTGCAAGCCACTGTAGTACCGTTCCGTGTGTTAGTCTAACACTGACAGTCTGCTTTCATGAATATTCAGTTGCAGAGTGGCAGATATATACAGCAAATAAACAGACAACATCTCTGGCAGAAAGGCCATGCTGCTGCTGAGCTCCTGAAATTGTACAGCAGTGACATGTACTGCTACCTAGTCCAGCAATTCAGCTTCCGCAGGCAGCACAAGAGCGCGTTCAGATTAGCTTCCGGACGGGCGATAAAGCAGGCGAGGACGGACGAAGGAGCGAGACGGCGAGGGAGGGAACGTGCGTACCTTCACGGATCTTCTCGAGCGCGGCGAGCATGGCCTTCCGCTTGGTCTTGCGCAGCCACTGCGGTGCGGAGCGAACAACAAACAAGCCAGCAGGGTCAGCAGCTAAGCGAAGCAGTAGTGAGGGGGAGAAGATGGGCCGTGTCAGCACCTTGGCGATGCGCGAGAGGGAGCGCTCGACGAGGAAGCAGGCGGCGACCATGAGCGTGGTGACGGTGGCAACCGACCAGGTGGGCGTCTCCGCCAGCGACCGCCCCTGCTCCGCCGCCATCCCGCACCCCGCCCGCCGCCTGGTTCCCTTCCGGCCTTCCCCTGCTCAGCTCACCACCGGGTCACTCGGCGGCTCCCGCCAGCGCCACCTTCAGTTCCTGCTCTGCTCTGCTCTGCTCTAAGAGCTCCTGATCTGGATTTGCGCGATGGGATTATTGGGATTTGGAAGCGGGCGACGGGGCGAGGTAGTGGTGAGGCCGGAGCTAGTAGTTAATGCGGATCGAGGCGGAGGGGAGGGAGGTGGGTGGCATGCGGATGCGGACGCGGTCGGCGTGGGATCCATCGGCACCGGAGCAGCACGGCAGGAGCGCATTCAAGTGGCAACAGCATCAGAAGCAGCGGGGAGTTTGGTCAGCTAGCAGAGTAGCAGCGGCACGCCGGCACATGGGGCGGCACGAGGCGAGGCGAAGCTAGCCGCCCAGCCCATCCATGGAACTCGAAACCGCAGCCGGCACCGGCAGCCCAAGCCCACGTGCCTTTGTTTCTTCTTGCCGTGCCAAACAGAGAGATGAACCCTCGGTGTTCGGACGAGGACTCAAATATGGCAAAGTTTTCTTTACGAAACAAAATATGGTAAAGTTTGGTTATTATAAAAAAAATGTATGGTATAGTTGATCTCGTTATTTTTTTTCTTTCATTTTATTAATACTCTTATACGTATATACTCCTCTATCCGAAAAAGATACCGTTTCTAGTTTCTCAAAAAGTCAAATAATTTTAACTTTAACCACCTTTATAAGACCAGTCTATGTGAAAATTTCTTCTGTATTTAATAGACGATCACTTGAGCACTTTTTATGATATGGCAACGTTTTTAGGAAAGAGGGAAGAAGTGAATTTTATCTAGATGATACTCTTTGAGCATGATTGCCGACTCTCTATGAATGAGTCATAATTTTAATTGTCTACAAGAACATAGAATAAAATTTCCCATTAAAAGTTAGTGTTTGATCCATGTTTTATTTTATTCTATATGACACAGCAGTCCTCGAAAATAATGCAGTGAAACTTTTCACTAAGCATGGCCTAAAAGATACCAACACTTTTATATCAAATAACTAAAAAAGAATGCAATTCTCACTATATTAGATATTCATTTTATGAAATAGATCAAATTGAGAAAGTTTTTCTAATGGCGAATTTAGAATCATATTCTTTAGGGTTAAAAAAATAGTAACATGTTTTGTACCCCTCCATTCCAAATTATAATTACAAGAAGCTTTAGCTTTTTCTTATACATTTCTTTTGTTATTATGTATCTAAACATGGTGCATATCTAAATATATAGCAAAAATAATATATCTAAAAATAACGAAACGTCTCTTATCATCTGACATGAAAAGAGTATTAAATAAATATTATTAAATTTATCATAAAATATATTTTTATAGTGTATCTATTAGAGATAAAAATGTTGATATTTTCTTATATAATAAAATAGATAAAATTGTGAAAGTTTGGCTAGTCTTAGAAGATAGAATTGCCATCTTTTAGGAACGGAGGGAGTACCATTTTCCTGGGTACCTCAGTGGTATGCAATGGTGGGACACAGCAACCCACTCTGATCGGAAAAACTTGAATTGAACGAAGAATTGAAAGTTTGAAACCCTGGATGCCGTGACAAAAAATATTACGAGTGAACACACAACACGAGTGCATCGACAACACGAGTGCATACGGACAAAGGAAACAGATTGAGCGCGCATGGCAACAACCACCCACTGCACTCGAGAAGGAAACAGAGTCGTCGTCACGCAGAATCTTGGCTAAAACTGGCTGGTTGCGTGAGAGAGAAATACTGTTGACTGGTTTGATGAACAGTGATCTCAGAGGAAGGAAACCAGCCGGCTGATTTCTTCAGCCCAGACCAGCGAACGGAAGCAATGTATGTCGGCCGGTGCCTCATCAGTAGGAGCGGCGGCCGCAGGAGAGCACCCGCGCGGCGCGCGAGAGCAGGCCCGGCTTCTTACCCCGGCGCGGCCCGACCATCCGCCGCCACAGCGCGCCCAGCGACGAGGACGACTTCTTCTTGCTCCCGCGGCGGCGCGACCACGACCGGGGGGGGGCGACGATCCCCGCGCCCGCTTCTTCTTCGTCGGCCACAGCGACGGCATGCTCACAGCGATGGCTGCGTGCGGTGTGCTTTAGCTTGGTCGAGCCGCTGCCCGCGAGAACCATGGCGACCTGGGCGGCCGCGTGTGCCCTCGCGCCACGCGTACGACGTCCTCAGGCATGCTGCTATTTGTTTTTCGTATCCGGGCGTGGCTGGGCGGTGCACGTGTGCCGCGCGCGCGTCGTCATCGATCCGTTAAACATGCATGTTGATCCACTCTGTCCTTTGTGATCGATCCTTCCAGATCGATAATCCAAAGCCAAAATCCATGCGTGATTGAGGCTTGTTTAGTTTACGAATTTTAGGAATTTGGCCTATTGTAACACCTTCATTTTTATTTAGCAATTAGTGTTTAATTATAGACTAATTAGGTTTAAAATGTTCGTCTCGCGATTTTCAATTAAACTGTGCAATTAGTTTTTTTTCATCTACATTTAATGCTCTATGCATATATCACAAGATTCGATGTAATAGCTACTGTAGCATTTTTTTGAAAAAGTTTTTGCGAACTAAACAAAGCGGATTGATCCATCCATGTGTCGTACTGTGCCCCGCAACGCCCCCACGTGTGCACTTGTGGACCACAGCGGCATTAGTGTACTTTTTCCAGCTTTGTTTTTTTGAACCTAATTAACTGGGGACTTTTTTTTTTTTGAAACGGCAGGTATTTCAAAAGGAAGGGGTCTAACGAACAGAGCACAGCCACACAAAATAGATCTCAGTATTTATGCTAGGTCGAAAAAGTCCCACCCAGGCCTAATTTTTCAGGCTAGGCACAAGTCAGGCCTGAGAATAGAAAAAATCAATCGCTCGAACCGGACTCGGGCCAAGAAAATTATTCTGCACAGCAGGATATGTGTCCTGGCCCTATCTAATAAGGTCATGGACGAACTGATGCCTTATTTAGTTTTAGGGTGTAAAGTTTTGGGATGTCACATCGGGTATTATATTAGGTATTGTATAGAGTGTTCGGATACTAATATAAAAATAAATTACAGAATTCATCAGTAAATCGTGAGACGAATTTATTAAGTCTAATTAATCTGTCATTGGCACATGTGTTACTGTAGCACTTTATTGTCAAATCATGAACTAATTAGGCTTAAAAGATTCATCTCGTAAAGTAGTCTCAATATGTGTAAATTGTTATTTTTTAAGTCTATATTTAATACTCTATACATATATCAAACATTCGATAGGATAGGATGTAAACTTTTACGTGAGAAACTAAACAAGACTAAAACCCATCGGGCTCAGACTGGGCCCATAGGCCAGGTCGTGTCTAAAAACACAATCGTGTCTAAAAACACAAACAAGCACACTCTGTACGAAAAGAAAATAAAATACTACCTCCGTCTTCGATAGAATACAATTCTACACGTTTTAGTACCTTAAGTTTGACCAATTATAAATAAAAAATATCTATGTTTATGATACTAAATAAATATCATCAGATTAATTACGAAATATATTTTCGTAATAAATTAATTTAAAAATATAACTATGAATATTATTCACTAAAAAACTTGGTTAAACGTAAATCACTTTTTTAGCACGTAACTTATAATTGCATTCTTTTAGAATGGAAGTTATACGGTTGGGACATTTCAGGACGGAGGTTATACGGTTGTTGGAAGATTGAGATCAAAGTCGGAGGTATTTATATTTTGCGGAATATATAAGGCACGAGTTTAGATGTGCGTGCATTGCAGATCGAGGCTTCCTTTTAAACCTCGCGCCGGCCGGCACCCTCGCCGCGTGCTCGTGATTCCGCCGCGCCACGCGGTGGGCGCGGGCGGGCCGGGCTGCCGGCTCGCCGACGCGTGTGCACGCGTGGACGAGTGGCCGAGTACGCTAGTAGCCTCTCGGCGGTAGGACGTGGGTGTCCGCGTCATCAGAGGTCAACCATGCCCGGCCCGTCCATCTTGCGTTGAAAGTTAATGCAATTAACAAAGATTTGGGAACTCATCGATCTCTTGGATTATATATAAGTTCAGGAAAAGACAACTGTTCATTGAAACAGTCTACTACCGGAGGGAGGTGGCCTTCCTATTGCTAACTGCTTATATTTAATCTGTTCGTTTATTGGTTTCAGCTAGCCCAAACCAACCAGTTAATAGTGTTTTTTTCTTAAAAAAACAAGCACCAGCTAACTCAAATCAGTACCAACCAGCGAACAGGCCCATTAACTAACTGCTAATCCTAAGATCACCGAATAAAAAGATTGTCTGTTAGGAACCGACACCGTTTTGTAACACTTGCATGCCTCGTCATATGAACCCGCCCGGACGCTTCCAGAAGCGAGCAAACTCATGCTCCGTTGCGCCTCCGATCCGTGCATGCATGTGCTGTGTCTGATGAAGCCCGGCGGCGTATATGCCACGTGTGCGCACATCCAAAAACTCTTTCCATGCCAAAAAATAAATACAACTATACATCAGTCAAACTAATTTGAGTGTGATTAAGATTATATAATAAATAATATTAAAATTTATGTCAACAACTAAACTTATAAAAATATATATTCTATAACAAATTCAATAATATTTATTTTGTATCATAGGAGTAATTATTAACATTTTTTTATAACCAAAGTCAGACGCCAAGCTTTCGAATCCGACTAAAACAAAGAAAATTAAGGGCAGTTTTTTTATTTCTGAAAATTGCTCAGCTATATACTATAACTCATTACGCGTGATAGATATATCGTATACTTATATACTTATGAGCATCTCCAAAAGCCTTTACAAATCTCACTCTCTAAATCATTATTTGAAGAGTCATTTGTATAAAAATCGTTTTCTATATCTTTTCACTCTCCAACAATTTTTCTATATCTCATGCACACTCTAGAGAGTCATTCTTGTCTTCTATTTTTTGCTAGCGAA